GGGGATACCCAAGTCCGACTACGGGGAACCCCGGAAATAGGTACCGACCCACACCGCCGCTATAGTAGTTTTCGTCGCTTCTATATGGTAGGAAGAGTGGAGTGGACCCCCCAACCCGGTACCCATTTGTGCTTTTGCGGACTGGGAATGCTTGCAAAGTACTTATAGGAGTACTTAGGGGATACCCAAGTCCGACTACGGGGAACCCTGGTTGGAAGAGTGGGTGGACCCCGTAACCCAGTACCCATTTGCGCTTCTGCGGGGCCCCTACTGCATGGTTTCCAAGGAAGGAGTAACCGGGTGCACAAAAACACCGATATCCGCAATGTTGCTGTGTGCGGTGAGAGTCCTCAGACCCCCCAACCCGCCCCCCCCCAAAACATAAAGATATTGAAATAAATCGCAGTACCTATTTCCCCTCCCCCCCCCGCCCCTCCCACTCCGGCCCCCATGAATTCGATTTCAACAATCCAACAGAATCCAACAGATGTGGGCATGTCGCTGCTTCATTAGGCCGACGTGACCGCTCAAATCTGTCAATGGACTTCTGGTGGTGAGCCTTGCAGTTGCGACGGTTCCATGGGTGATCTAGCGTGTTGTTTAGCTTACCCGTGAAGAAGGTTGATCATTTCTGGCTCGCAGACAGAGGATTGCCAACGTTGTTTTGTGAGGTATGCATGAAACAGCATCGGGGCGCAGGACTGAAGATATATGACATGCATGTCTTTTTGCAAAACGTGTCACAAAGATGGCTGGCCGACCTATGACTTGACATGTCGCCATGCCGGCGCCTGCCAAGGTTCCGCATGCATGACGAATAATAATTTGTTCGGGTTTCATAACTTAAAGAATTGAACAGTGGTCCTGTGATTGTCAAGCTTAGCTGTCGCGTGCATGTTGTACGTTTGTGCTTCAAACTGTGGCTATGCTTGACTATGCAGTTATTCAGAGGGGGGCAGGGACTCGTGCGTTGGAACCACAACCATCAGCCGAAGGATGCCGCTGTCATGCCACGGAGTACCCGCCTATGCCTTGTGGCCGCGCGAGTAACCCAGAGCAATCGTCAGCATGCGGTTAGCAGACTTGGGCATATGTAGGTTTGCATGGTCAGCGTCAGGTCGGCAGCAGCCGCTGAATCGTTGACATTTCCGATCGATTTTGCGAAGACCCGCATGCAGATTAAAGTTGGGAGGCCCGTCAGGGTGATCGATGGTGTACAGGTTGCTTTGCTGTCGCGGTGTAGGGCTTAGGTTGGCTAGATCAAGCGCAAGTGTGGTAAGCTCAGAAAGTTTTGTAGGAAGACCAACACGTCACGGTTGCATGATTGGTCGCAGCCGGCATGCCATGTCAGGTAAAGTTTTGCGGGGCGCTTGAGGTAGCTTTGATGCAATTGTGTTGTAGCCACGGAGGGTTAAAGATAAAACACCGGTGCCAGCCAGTGACTTTTGAGATTCCCTCCGGAGACCAAGCGCGGGCTTCTCGGAGTTGCACGCCTGATGCCAGGCAGACGTTCATTGATGCGTTGGACAAGCCGGCACGTTTGTTTTTCGCCACATGCAGGCTTGCTGTTGCAGACGCGTGTTTTTTCAAGCTTGCATACCTTGAGGCGAAAGCTATTCGTCATGAAGGCATAGGTCACCCGGCGGCAAACAGCTAACAATCAAGATTTTCAGTTTAACAACGTCGAATTAGGTCACTGCATCGACAATACCAGTCGGAGTGCATGACTTATGCAACAATCCGTTCGTGTTGCGTTGGCGTTTCCGTGTTGTGAAGCATCCTGCCAGACAGCATAATACCCTAATCCTTCGGTGGCGCGACCACGCCTACTCGTGATGGTTTGGCAAAACGAGCACCAAGACAACCGTGGGTGGCCTCAGTGCTTTCCTCCTCGACGATTGCTCCTTCTCGTCCGGGGACTGAAAAAACATGTCTTGGACAGACGAGAAGCCTTGACATGTGATCAAATGGTTGCTATGAACAAGATGCCGGTCATAGAAGGAGCGGGAGGCGCCTCGGCAATGCCATAGCGCGATGACGCGATGACGACGAAGACACTGCGCTTTTTGAATAGTTGATTTTCTTTTACACTTGCGATTCATGTTCCATTCGGCGGTGTGGGAGAACAACGCGTCAGGACGGTCCTGCGCAGGCATTTCCCACAAAAAGTGGTCGAACTTGATAATGAATGGCCGAAACCATTGGTGCATACCTATCCGAGGTGCCGTGTATGCCGGTTTGCCGTCAGCAGCCCAGAAAAACATTTACGCAATTTACGCTGTGTCGGGTCATGGCAGTGAGCCACAGTTGTTCCAGCAAGGCCGGCGGTACTTCGCCACATTGTGTATTCATCCTTGCGCATTTCGTTCTACGAGGTCATCACCCGGATTGGTTGCTGTGCCATATAGCTGTTGTACCAACAGCCGAACACAACTTTGCAGGATATGCGTGCGGGATTTGCTTCGAATTTTCCACAGACCAACAGTTCACGACCCAGCTGCCGTTGGCGGTGTTCTCAGGGGTGTTGCATTTAAATGTTGTTTCCATGTAGGCTCAACGGCCAAAGCAGTTGCCGGATTGGCGGCTGGTGGTCTGGCGCAGGCTGGGCAATGGTGAAACTCCGGTTTAAAGTATGTAGGAACCTGATTAAAAATTTTTGGGCCTTTATCAGGGTTCCTTATATGGATCCTGTTATTCTGGAGTTATAGGCTCAAGGTTTCTTAATCAGGTTCCTACATGAACAAAGGAAGCTCTGTGGCTGCTGAGGTTTTCGCTTCCCCGGCGGATCGGCTCAAGGCATGAGTGCGGGACACACGTGTGGTCAGTTTCGTGATGGAAAATTTGCGTTTCGGATCGGGAAAGGTAGCAGTGTCTGCAGGTCGTTCTCGTACAAGAGGGAGGCCAACAGGGAATGGCTGCAGCCCAATTGCTGCACACATGTCGCGCATTAGCTCATGAGCTCGACGCCCTAAGCTGCCCTGCTCTTTCTATTTGCACACTCAGGTCACGGTTTTCCGGCGGATCTTGCGGGAGGAAGGTTTCAAGGCACATGTCGACAAGCCGTTTCCCGGTCATGTTGGTGATTGCCATGCGGAGAGCATCACCGGGACATAGCAGCAGGAATGTAAGCCTAGCTGTTTCTTTCTTTATAGCTGCTTGATTGCAAGTAATTAACGAACTCGCGAAGCTCCAATCGGTAGGACATTCTTTGTTGCAGATGTTTCCTTTTACGGTTGTGCAAGGGCAGACCTGCTCTGAAAAGCCCGTTTTTTGATTACACAACATCTCATGTTCTCCTTTGTCTTAGCCCCTAAGCCTGAAGCTCTCGCAAAAGGTGCTTAGAGAATCAAACCTGAAGTGTGTAGAGTGATAGCCGTTTAGAGGTGTTGGGCCATCATTTTTGCTAATTTTCAGGGGTTCGGGCAACCCTTCAACCCTGTAAACCTTAGAAGCCGGTAAGGAAGTCTTGCTGTATATACACCAATCTGGAAAAGAGCCGTCCCCCCCCCCCAAAAAAAAAAAATATGTATATGCATATGTATATATATATATATACCCCAAAACCCTAAGCCCTAAACCGATGAGGGCCTTTACCGTGGCGTGCTGCCGAACGTGCAAAGGGCCGCCTTGGTCAATCTCGGCGAGTTCGGTGCCCCGGTTTAGGGTTCAAGGCTTGGGGTTTAGGGTTCAGGGTGTAGGGTTCGGGGTTTAGTATTTAGGGCTTAAGGTTTAGGGTTTAAGGTTGAGGGTTCGGGGTTTAGGGTTAAGGTTTAGGTTCCGGGGTTTAGGGTTTATAGGGTTTTGGCTTTGGGGAATATCGTTTTAAGGGTTTGGGGTTTAGGCTTTTATTTTTGGTTCACCAAGTACGCACACACGTCTCAGCATCCAATGTTGCAAATCTTGCGGCTTGGGGTTGGAATCTTCTGGCCCGATGCAGGCAGGTTCGTTGTGAAGCTCATGCACTTGGAAATCTCCATTCCGCGGGATTGGTAGTCTTCAGAGCGATAATGGAATCAAGTATGTGAAACGCATTTAACTGGATTCCAGGTAGCAGCGGCAAAATCGTGTTAAGGTTCGAAGAAGTTGGGGAGATGCCTGCCCCCACTTGTGCTAAAGAGCAAATGTTCGGGTTTCTCAGCCCTGCTGAAGAACAACTGTGCGAAGTTCTATCAAAATGCCGCTGCGTTTCTCAGGCTGTCGACATACGACCAAGCCAAAAGCTTTGTCCTTCAACGAAGTGGCCTACCGGACGGTCCGGTGCTTTGCTGTTTTTTGTTCCTGGTTTCGGTCCGGATCGTGTGGGATGTACGCTTCCATGAGAGGCAGGTTCATCATTTACGTGATTAAGCACGTCCTTTGCATCTGTGTGGGGCATGGTTTGGGATGCCTTCGTTGGGTATGGGGTTCTCATGGTTCCCATAAGCGTATTGGATTGGGTCAGGACTGCTGGCAGGGATCTGCAACCTAGACGATGACGTCGGCAAGCACGTGTCCATGACATCCGAAGAATATCAGCAACCTTAGAATTCGTGGGGTTTGGTTGTTACAGTTTCTGCATCCAAGCCCGTGTTCCAAGACTTTTGTGTTTGCACAGCCGATCTGCACAAATCGAGAAGTGTACTAAGGCATTTGTCAGGACCAGTGAAGCATGGCCCCTGACGCAAGGATGACACGCTTGCCAGGACCATTGAAGCATGGCCCCTGCGCAAGGACGACACGCCACACGTTGTGGCTCAAGCATGGTGCACAAATCGAGAAGTGTACCGAGGTCTCGGCAAGGGTTTTTGAGCTTCGGAGTCTGGGGTTTGGAGCGGGGTTGTGAGGGTACCCGATATCCTTTTCCCTCTTTGTTCCCCACCCCTTTCAGGGTTATTTGGAGCTTGATTTGAAGGTGGTGACTGTGTAGTGTTGATGGTGACATGGACAATAGTTCGCTAGATGATGTACCGTATAGTGTAAGGATGAACCTGCAGCAACAACAACATCAGCAGCATCAGATTATGTCACCAGCGTTCAGCATCGTCACAGACAGCAGCCCTCAACAAACACAGGTGATGAGCCCAAACGCTCCACCGCAATCCCTTTCTGCAGCGAGTGCTTCAGTGGCACCACAGCTTCAGCACTTCGACGAGCCATCATCAGAAATTGTGGTACGTATGAGGATGCAGCAGATGTTGCAGATTCAGGCGCCAGCCGAAGTTCTGAGATTGCTTCAATCATCAGCTGCAGTAGTGGCAGACGCTAAGACCATCAAGGACGTGCAGAGCAATGTTCGTTTGGTGGCTCAGGAGCTTGAGGCAAGAACAGAGCGATTGGCATCGTGCTTGTCGGGAATTACCGGGGACCTAGATGGGGTGAAACATCAATCAGAGAGACTGCTCAACGCTGCAAGTGATCATCATGCTGCCTTGAACAACGCCAACAACAAATTCAAGGAGCTTGAAGAACAGATCCAGCAGATAGAGAGTGCAGTCACCCAATTGTCGAGGCGTCAGGTCACCTTTGAGTCTGCGATGGAGACTCGGTTGGGTGCCCTTGAGAATCAGATCATACAGTTGAGAGCTCAGGCTGCATCAGCGGACGCGCTGAAAGATGAAGTGGTTTCGATGAAAGCTACATTGTCAAGGCTTGAGCATCAGCAACCCGAGATACAACAAAGCGCGCAGACCAAGAGTGAAGAGAGTGAGACCCGCATCCAGCGCAGAATTGACGAGATGGATGTGTTGTTGAAACATTTCTTCGAACGTGTGGATGGAAATGAGAAACTCTGTGAGAAGCTTAGACAGCGGTCGGAGGATCTCACCAGCCGCTTTGAAACCTTGCAAACTCACGTTGATGAGGGGTTTAGTTCGGAATCCAGAGCTTTACCACGTCGTCCTCAACTTCAGATGCCCCAGCAGATTGCAGAGGAGGTGTCCGATGAAAGGTTTGAGGAGGAGGCGAAGGCTCAGGAGATCATTGAAACACCAAAGCATCGCACAACGTCAGGTGTCCAGATGTTCCAGATGACTCCCCAGCGTGACGGAGCCGATGATTCATGGCAGAAGGATGCTGTTGATGAGTGGCTGGAACAGGTAGAGGAACCTCAGGTTGTGCAATCTGTTCCTGCGGAGCCTCCAGGTCTAGGAAGTTCTGGTGCAAAGATTCCGGCGGGACAATGGAAATTGATCAAAGATTTTCCCAAACTCACGATTCCTCACGGAGAACCGTGGGAAAAGGGAATGGTGTTTAGACAGTGGTGCACAGAAGCCGCATCATTGGCAGAGGCGATATCACCATACTTTGCACAGTTCTTCCGAAAGCGAGTGCAGGAGGGACAGACCAATTATGAGAAGCGCTTGAGGGATGGTTGTGAGTCAACGTTGCCAGCAGTTCATCAGGAGGAGCGGGAGATGGAAACCCGATTGAGCCTAGCTCTGCTTAAGGCAATCCCATCTTCTTTGAAGCAACCGGCTCTTGAGAAGGGTACCCCAAATGAGGCGGTATCCACGATTGCATTAATGGAGACAGTGAGCGAAGTGTTGATGCCAGGAGGTATTACTGAGCAAGTGTCGTTACAGAGATTCCTTCGGCAACTTCCCACGGCATCATCTTGCAAGGAGCTGCTTGCTACACTTAGGAGGTGGAGACTGGCCAAGCAACGCGCTGATCATTTAGGAGTCCCAGAACAAGCCCCTCATGAGTCAATTGCTGCATTGAACAGCTTGTGCCAACAGCTTGAGAAAAAGCATGCTTTGTTGGGAACAAGATTGAGCTTGTTGAGATTGCAGCACAACATCCAGGTACCATCCCACGACGGAGTGACATCGTTCCTTCAGGTATTGGAAGCCGAATGTACCCGGATTCAAGCTGAGGAGCAGACGTCTTCGTCGTCCAAAGATGCTCGGAAACATGAGGGAGATGAATACGCGATTCCTTCGGCAAATCAGGCTACTGGGGGAAAGGGTGTCGGTGTAAAGCCGTTATTCTCTTACTTCAACACTGCCAGAGGCTGCTTGAAAGGAGCAAATTGCGAGTTCAGACATGAAAAGATTTCAAACAAAGGGAAGGAGGCCAAAGGCAAGAGCGGCAAGGATGGGAAGGATGCTAGAAATTCTTCTTCTGATAAGGGGAAATCATCTGGTAAGGGTGACGCGAAAGCCATTGCAGATGCAAAGGCGGCTGAAGAAGCAAAAGCTAAAGCCGCCGCGGAAGCGAAGGCTAAGGTGAAGGCTGAAAAGAAGGCGGCCAAAGCAGCAGCAAAAGCAGCAGCATCAGCCAAGGCTTCTTCAGTAGTGACCATTGCAAGCGCAGCATTAGAGGAGGTTCCATCATTGGTTGGTGCAGTAGGACCGACTTCATCCGGGTCAACAGCTCCACGCATCATGATGGCACAGAGTCTGGACTGCGAGAGTAATGATCTTAGCGAGTCAGAGTCGCTTGAATCAGAGATTCCTATGAGAGCTGAGGGTGATACGCCAGAGTGGTCGGAAGTAGAGCGTGGCGATTTCTCCAGTGCAGAGCCTTCGTCAGAGGAAGAGGGTCAGGCTGGTGAAGACCAGCCCAGGCAGTTGCATCCACTTCGTCTATGGGTGTTAAACTTGACGATTGAAGATTTCATCATGTGGACGAGGCCTGGTCACATTCAGTCACATGCCACTTCCGAGTTCCAGATTGAAGCCAATCCAAATTCCATTATGTGGCCTGTCTGGTGGACGATTGAGCATGATTATCTTGATGACAACGAACAGGGAGTGATCCCTGTGACGGAAGATGTGGTGATGTTGAGGTGCGATGTGACGCCAGTGTTGTTTGAGGATGGCATCATTCGGAATGTCTTTGTGGTGTGGCTCCTTGAGGAGGAGACTGGAAGAGAGCGCAGGGTTGCAGTGATTAGAGGGCGAGTTCGTCCCATTGTCACTCCGTGGCCAAATCGGGAACTGAGTACAGCAGCCTCAGCAAGCAGTCCTCCAGTTGCGAAGGCACCGACGATCACGGCGCCGCCTCCGGAGTTGCATCAGGGTTTCCCTAGGATAGGTTATCCCATAACTCCTCTAGCTAAGGCTGCAGCTTACGCTTGGAGAGCAAACGAGATTCAGGCGATTGAAGCTGTCACCGCAGTACCCAAAGCAGCAGCGAAAGCAGTAGCTAGAGCATTCCAGGTTCCATTCGTTACAGCCCCTCGAGCCAAAGCTACAGCATTTCCCAAAGCACGAGCAGTTGCGAGAGCACCTCGAGGAGGAGCAACAATGCCGACAGCCATGCGTTGTGTATGTGTTGAGGAAGAGCTTGATTTTGAACCTCCCATGTTGGTTGGAGCTAAGGCTGAGCCAATCACCGCTAGCAGACTTGAGTGTGTTGATCAACCAGTTGGAAGTGCAGTGGTCAGTCAGCAGCCGTCGGTGTTGGTGGATTCGGGTGCAAATGAAACTATTCGTCCTTGGCTTGCAGATATAAAGGAAAGTGGATGTACCCACACAGCCGTTGTAACTGCGAGTGGTGATCGAGTAGCCGCGCTTAGAACCAGGGATGGAGAGTTATGCATCAAGTCCACCGAGGATAGTAGGGACTGGCTGTTGAGTGTTCGTCGGCTCGTGGAGGCTGGTGGAACTTTCAAGTGGGATCGAGAGGCAGCAACAGTATCTTATTTTGACGGTGAAGGGCATGAGCAGTACGTGGATTGCAGGATTCAGAATGGGTTGCCCTTTCTTGATTGGGAGAGCTTCAAGCCGATTCGGATCATGCTCTCAAAACACTTCAAACGCAGGCCAACAGTTGCACGCGCAGCTACAGAGACAGCTCTTGAGTGGAAGAGTTGCCAAACATGTTCCATCGAGGAGTTGAGCGAGGCTGTGTGGAATGAAGAGGCATACCGCATGACAGCCGAAGAGAGCGAGGAGATCGCAAAGGCAATTTGGGAGTCAGAGTCTAGAGCTAGAGAGCTTTTGAGTCGTGACAGTATATCGCATGAGGATGTGTGGCGACTTATCCGGGAGGCACACTTGAAAGGTCAAAGAACGCATAGGCAGGATATGTTGGTGAATCCAGATCAAGACCGAGTACAAATCTGGATATTCGGAATGTTTTGCCACGGGGGAGTTACAGGGATCACCACTGTTACCCGCGAACGACCTTTCTTGACAAGGTTACTGGTCAGATTCATTAGACAGGAGTTGCCGACTTTGACGTTTACCACGATCTCACTGGCAATCGATGCTACCCTGCGTCCGCACAGAGACCTTACGAACGCTGTGGGGTCAGTGGCGGGAATCGTGGGAATTTCCAAATTTGAGGGTGGCAAGCTGTGGATTGAAGATTCAGCTGGCACGGCCAGGAGACGTGTATCGCAGGATGAAGTCAAAACTGGAATGCTGCTAGACGTGTGCCAAAAAGCACACATCTTTGACCCAAGACGTTGGCACGGAGCTGAGCAACATCGGGGTGTTCGATCAACGGTGGTCGGTTACACGGCTAGGCAGCTGCAGCGTCTTGATCAGGATATGACAGACAGGTTGAGACGATTGGGTTTCAACTTACCGGAGGTTTCATCCAAGGCCACAGTTGCAGTCGCAAGTCAGGGCAAGGCGATGGCGCATCAAGCAGTCAGTGAGGTTTCAGATCATGGAGCCCAGGAGGACAGCAGAGTGCATCCAGATGACCTCGATGATGAGGATGAGGGTGAGGGCTGTTCGGGGTATGAAGGGTTTGTTTCCTCCGGGACGTCGGGTCGCTGTGAGCATTGTGAAATTTCGTTAGTCCGAGACATAGGCTCATCCGTGCAGCCATGGAGCGTCAGAAGCGCTGAAGCTGTGAACCCTGTATCAAGCTTTGATGAAGTCTCGCAACAAAGGGCGATTGAGCTACTCAGGAGGAAGTGTGCACAAGGGTTGTACGAGCGTCATTGTCCCAGCTGTGCTGAGGCCCACGGTCATAAGCGCAAGTGCAGGAGATTGACTCCGGAAGAGATCGGTGAGGGCACTTTGTCCATGGACCTGTCAGGTCCCCATCCAGCCGCATTTTCAGGACATCGCTACTTCATGGTTGCAAACTTGAGCAGAAAGGATGGTAGTGACATCCCGTTTTCGAGGCTGTTGTTCACCAAACAAACTGAAGAAGTGGCTAAAGCTTTGACCTCTGTGATGTGCCAGATTGTATCGCTCGCTCAGGGTGTTCCCCCAGTGTTCCGTATCCACAGTGATGCTGGTAAGGAGTTCGTGGGAGGAGCATTTCAGAAAGCAGTGGAGCAGTGTTGTGTGTGGCCCACGATGAGTGCACCATACACGCCACAGCAGAATGGTCGGGCAGAGAGGCTAGTAGGATTGCTTAAGGCAGCTGCGGGATCCCTGTTGCTGCATTCGCAATTCCCTTTGCAACTCTGGGATGAGGCAGTGCTGGAAGCCACGTTCCTGCGGCGATGTAGGGCACTGAAACTTCTAATCCCGAGGGACCGCCCAAGAATGGGCGACACAGTGTTCGTGCGAAAGCCGACAAGCTCCGCGGGGCATCCATTCGAACCTAGGGCAGAGGAGGGCCTATTCCTGGCCAATGATGAGCGAACGCCTGGAGGGGCTCGGGTTCTGGTAACGCGGGACGGTAGGACCACTGTGCGTGTGACGCAGATGCCAGTTCTTAAGGACATTGAGGCGATCAGATGGCGAATTGAACGGGGACCTCAAGATCAAGCAGTTTGGGTGAGCACCACTGGGGATGTGAGGTGGAATGCTCCACCTTCAGACATGATTACGGTCGAAGAGTCGGTAGGGGAAATCCAGCCGTGGAACGACGGGAACACCGCATCTGAGATCATCAGGGAGCGCTTCAAAAAACATTTGGTGCCCGAGGCTGAGAAGCACTTGTTTGGATTGTTTGGTCATGGATTCTTGGTGACTCCTGTGGAAAAAGAAGAACCTGACGGCGAAGCCAGGGTAGGGGTAGTGGAAGCTGAAAGGCCAAATCCAGAAAACACGGACCAAGACAAAATACGTGATCTACTCCAACAAGGTGGAACAGCAGATGATCAAGGATGAGGCAACATCTCAGCGATTGATGGTCACAGAAGCTGCGGATGCAGGGGTGTTCGTGAATCCATCGACTCCGGAGTGGGAGCTCAACAAGTGGATGGCAGGACTCAACAAGGAGCTAGACACCATGGAAACCAAGAATGTGCTGGAGAAAGTTCGGCAGAGCGAGTTCCCAAAGGCAAAGCCGGTTCCGAGTAAGCTGGTGCTAACCAAGAAGCCAATGGAGGATTCGGAGGTAATCATCAGATCGGACATGGGTGCTTCGGAAATCGCTGCTCTCATTCAGCAAGCTTGGAATCCTAGAGTCCGGCTAGTTGCGTGTGGAAACTTCGAGAAGGACTCAAAGGCACATGATCCAGAAAACTTTGCAGGAAATCCAGGTGCGGAGACCGTGAGAATCTTGCTTTCACTACTGGCGAGGCGTCCTACCAACATGACGGCGGTGGTCCTGGACATCTCATGCGCATTCCTGAATGCCAGACTTGATCGAAGTCCGGATGCGAAACCGGCTCATTCAGCCGCCGAGTATCCTGTACAAGCTTGGCCTCCTTGAAAAGGGCTTTATCTGGCGTGCTCGGAAAGCGATTTACGGATTGCGGAGGTCCCCCCGTCAGTGGGAGATAGAGCGAAATGGCGAGCTCGATGGTGTGACATTAGAGCCGCTTCCTCACCATGAACACGGACTGCTGAACTTGGAGAGCCTGGAGTCAGGGACATGGTTGATTCGGGATTCGAGTGGCGAGATTCAAGGCGCAATGGTCATGTACGTGGACGACGCGCTGATCATTGGTGATTTGGAAATTTGCGCCAGGCTGAAGGCAAAGCTGTCCAGTTTGTGGGACTTGAAGGAAGAAGGTGTGTGGATGCCAAAGGAGCACACGGGTCAGATTGGAAGGGATGCCACCGGGATCTACTTGCATCAACACGCTTGGATTTCCACAGAGTTAAAGAAACGTGGATGGAGCACGATGGGGGGTTGTGATAATCTTCCTGATGTAGTACTATGTGATAACGCCGCATGTGTCATCAACCTGGTGCGTGAAGACGGTGCATTGATTACCACGAGAACCAGAACGGTAGGTATCAGGTGTTCGTATGTCCGTGATCAAGCTGTCCTCGAGGGTTTTGACATTCAGCACATGTCGGGAAATGAGCTACCAGCGGATGCACTGACAAAGACGAGCTCGCTTGAACCTTCGATGAACAATGAGATTCCGAGATGTAGCCGAGATACGCTTGCACTACGATGGAATTGCCCACTGACTGTAGTGTTGAGATCTGCATGTGTGGGATGCATGTGATAGTTTGCCGAGTGTTGCCGAAGGAATAGTCCAGCATCTCTCAGGCATCAATCTTGATACGATCTTTTGTTTGACCTTTGTGCATCTCGAGTGCAGAACGGGTTGGCACGCTCACTCAGACACGCTCGCGTGAGGAGGAGTGTGTTTGCACAGCCGATCTGCACAAATCGAGAAGTGTACTAAGGCATTTGTCAGGACCAGTGAAGCATGGCCCCTGACGCAAGGATGACACGCTTGCCAGGACCATTGAAGCATGGCCCCTGCGCAAGGACGACACGCCACACGTTGTGGCTCAAGCATGGTGCACAAATCGAGAAGTGTACCGAGGTCTCGGCAAGGGTTTTTGAGCTTCGGAGTCTGGGGTTTGGAGCGGGGTTGTGAGGGTACCCGATATCCTTTTCCCTCTTCGTTCCCCACCCCTTTCAGGGTTATTTGGAGCTTGATTTGAAGGTGGTGACTGTGTAGTTGATGGTGACATGGACTATAGTTCGCTAGATGATGTACCGTATAGTGTAAGGATGAACCTGCAGCAACAACAACATCAGCAGCATCAGATTATGTCACCAGCGTTCAGCATCGTCACAGACAGCAGCCCTCAACAAACACAACTTTCCTAGGCCCGGTGTTAAAACTACCCTATAAGCCTAATAGCCCTAAATTGTTTTCAACCTTTAACCCTAAACCCTCAACGATCCTATAAGCCCTCCAACTTTATTTTACGCCCTAAAAAAAAGCACAAGCTACAGTTTAAGCACTATCAGCATTTACACACCCTAAAAAGAGCCCTTGCAAGGTACATTATACGCACTATAAGCCCCTGAAGACTGTAATCGGAACCCAAAAAGGTGTCATCGTGCACACCTTCAGCGCCTTTTGCTCGGGCTTTGTCGCGTCAGATGCTTGGATGACGTAGTTAACATATATATACACACATTTAGAATAAAGAGGATATATGTATATATATATATATATACATACATATATATATATATATATATAGATATGTATGTATAGATAGATAGATCGATGGATAGAGGCCTTACCCAGAGGGTCCATTCATATATACTACCATTATGGAATTTCCATTCTCATTGTGGTTTTGGGGCGTATTAGTTCCATAATGGTAGTATAGACGGACCCTCTAGGCTATTTCTTATCACTTACCATAATACTATTTTGGGGGGCTCCTTATTACAAGTATAGTATAATGGCCCCCGAAATCTTATTCTAATTATACGGCCCCTATGTTGCGGACGGCGGGATCATCAACTTAGTCCAGGTGAGGTTTCGGGTTTAGGAGTTAGTTATTCGGCGTGGCAGGGCCCAGGGTCAATCAAAAGATGCCTCGCAGGACATTATTAATGATAAAGCCCCAGCGGCTTTGTGCGCATTGTTAAAGTACGGTTTCCGGGCTGGGATTTACCAATGCTTCTGGAAGTACTCGTAGGTCAGGAATTTCGTGGTTTGGCAGCTTTGGGCTTGCAGGTTTCAAGCACATGCCTTTAGATTCACTGAGCGCGAAGCACCCGTGAGATTGCAAGGAGCTTCGCATGTCGTGCTCTGATCGGAATGTGTAAGGGTGGAAGTCGCTGACTCTTCTGTCCAAGAGCCTAATCGATCAACAACTATGGTTATTCATCGGGTTCTGAACTGTGGTACATCCTGCCTTCGAAGGCTAAACAGTTTGACAGGAATCGCGCGCTTTGCTAAACATACCGAGCATGACTGAAAGAAGCCGTGCAACCCTCCAAATCTGTTTCAAGCAACGGCCGCCAGATATGAGGATTTTCGTATTACCCTCAAGCCGAGGTCAGTATGCGCAACCCCTGCAGATGTTGTGAAGAGCCGGATCATGGCGGGGCAGGTGAGCATTGCTTTTTGCTGCCTTTCGGAAATACATATGTTTCATAGTTAATACGATAAAACCCAAGGTTTCGTTAACATTTGTCTTTGTGGTGGTTCTAAGGGCGCTGTCCTGTACCGTTCACAGTCCAAGCCCTATACCCACATGTTCTTTGCAGACCAGACTCAGAAGGTAATTTGTAGCAGTTCGCGGGTGTGCAGCTTAGAGTTTCCAGCAGACTGGGTTTGTGCGTTTTGAGGGTTGGTTCGGGATAATGTGAGGATTTAAACATGCACAAGCGGTTTACGGCTTTTAGAAGCAGACATCGGTGTGAGCTGCTTACCGGACTCAGATTCTCAGGAGTAGCACAAACTGTGGTTGATGTTACAGTGGCTATCGGCTATCGTAGTCTTCACTGCAAGATCTGCTTACTCCGATATAGTCTCTGTAGGCTCGAGTGTGTGTGTGTGTGTGTGTGTGCGCGCGTTGCTAGGCGTGCGTCTTTGATAGACTCCATCGCATCGACTGAAAAATCTCTGTGTGTGTGTGCAGGCTAGCGGCATCATCAGCTGCGCCGGGTGCTGAGCAGCTGAGGGTGGGGCATGAAGAACGCTTAAAGGCTGGTGGTTATCTCCGATGCGAGGTTCGGGAGCGGGAGAGAAAGGTTCGATCGAACTACGCGAGTGCGAGTGTCGGCGCCGGCGCTGTCGACTTATGAACAAGTCGTATCTGAAGCTTTCACCTCAGCTCGAGGATAAAGTGGGTAATGCGTGTCGCAAGTTCGCCCAATCAGGTCACCTAGATCAAGAAGCCATTGTAATTAACAATACCTGCGAAAAACCTTTCTCGACCTCTCTGCGTAGGAATGCGGCGCAAATGAAGTTGATGCCGAGAGGGTCAGCGGAGCTGTCCACCGGGTTAGTGGCCCGCTTGGAACGACAAAGAGTGCACTTCCTCATAGCAGGATATCGCGCGGAGACAGAAAGAATGGTACCCGCACGTGCTGGGCAGTGCGGCCGACGAGCCGAACCTGCCAGTCGCATCAGTTATTCATGTTCAACCCTTTCGACTTCGCACTGCCGAGATTTCCCACTCATGGGTCCAAAAACGGCTCGGGAGGACAGTGCTTGTGAAGCTACATACTCAGAACTTCAACTCAGGCACCGGGGCCGACATGGACAGCGAAAGCTGGGCAGGACCCTGTGTATTTGCCAGTACCAGCACGATAAGCAACATCGCTTCTTCGTATGAGGCATTGTTGCTGCTACCAGTGTTTATATGTGTGACAAGCTTTACACATGAGAGTTTCGGAAAGCCCATAGGCAGTACTTAATTAAGGAACTGCATCCTTGTTGCAAGGACCCCGGCCCATGCGATCTATGTATGTATCGGCGATCACGGCACAAATGGTAACCCCCAAATACTTCTTGTGTCGCAGTGGGGTTTCCGGCTTAGACCCTACACGCTAAGCCCTAAACCCGACTACGCCAAGAGCCGGAACACCACTGCACCTTCATTCGAGCTCACAATGCTGCTTGAGGTTCGAGATGCAGTCTGGGCCCGAGCTCGTCATTGCCTTCGGTTCCAGGGCTGGTACTTGGGCCTAGAAAACCTGTACATTGACATGTCAAGGACTTATATACAGAAATTGTATGAATGGACCCTAAAAAGGTAGGACACAATTCCAACAAGGTATCATAACGGCCGTGCACCTATGAAAGCGATTGTCCTACATACGCTTGTGGTCCAGGTAGGGTGTAGGAGTTTACGGGGCAGGGTTCCAGCGCTTTCCTGGGTCCGCACCCTGCAAGACCCCAACGTGTCCTATCACACATAGAGCCCTATAAGGGTCCATGTACACAACTAGCATATACTTTGGCCCATAGGGGTTACTTTGATGCCACAGTATAATATTCGGGTACATGGACCCTCAAGGGAACAGATGCCTTACCTTCAGAAAGGTTCTTCAAGGTTTTTGCAGGGTATTTTGCTTTGGGCTTTCAGCAGTTTGAGTTAGATCTCGCGAGGTTGGGGGGATTGAAGCCAAGCCTTGCGACAATCCCTCCAAGCCCTCTTTCTTTGGTTTGGCGACTGCGCGAAGGCCGAGGCTGTATTTCCCAAACCGAAACACTCCTGGGCGCGCTGCATGGGGTTACTCGATCGAACCCAAAAAGACATAGTCTTGACATAAAAAAGCCTGGACCTCTTTGTTTTTCTATATAGCTGCAGAATTTGCTTATGGAATCCTCACATCGCATCTCTCTGTATAGACTCTAAAGCATAAACGCTGAACCCGAAACCTGCAGATGACTTGCTTGTCCCATGTTGAAGCAGAGCCCGAGGGAGGTTTAGTATGAGGGCTGCCACGGCTTGTTTCATGATTCCATTGCCAGCACATGTGCAGACACCAACGCTGGATGCACATGATTAGCACCAGGGACGTCTCAGCTTCAGTAGCCTCTTGCACCTCTTGCTTGTTTACTTTGTTGGGCTTTTCCTGGTTCTCAATCTGGGTGTTCACACATCTTCTCGAGAGCCGCCCCCGTCTGCATCAGGTCCGACAGGAAGGATGGTTCGCATTGTGGTCTGCTTCTCAGCCGATGTCGTTTGGGGTCAGAGCTTTGCTTCTCAGAGTATAGGGTGCTGTGCCTTTGGGTTGAATCATCTGAAGATGACTATTCAGTTTTTCCCCGCTCTGAGAAGAATGTCTTAGCATACTTCCGGAGAGACTTCCTTGGTTGGTCGTCGGTTGCCGTTGCTTTTGTGTGTATATGTGTGTGTGTGTGTGTGTCTGTCCCATGCTCTTCAGACAGGCGTCTTTCTTCAAGGTCATATCCCAAGCCATCACCCCCTTGTAGCTCCTTGAAAGATCCGGAAAAGCTGCAGATAGTGAAACCGCTACACAACCCAAACCCGGACCCTGATCGTACTGCATCGGCCCTGGCTTCAGGAAAGGCTTCTTCCCAAACTGGGCACGGCTGGGGTGCACGACTCAGATATTGAAAGTGGCCTTAATGGTTGGAATAGGGTTAGGGGTAGACGTGTGAAACCCCCAAAAAGAATACTGTCGGGGATTATGCAGGCTTCTATGTTACACCGAATCTTGCAGACTCGACATGACTGGCGCTGGGGCGCGAGGATTGGGGTTTCTGTCGAATTGTCTGGGGCTTGACGTGGTTCATCTACAGTTTTCCCTTTTTCCACGTCGATTGAGATTTAGTTACATCAACGAAACTTCGAGCGACAACCAAAACCAACCTATCCCCTCCGTTTCCTCCGCACTGGTTCGAAGCTCAGAAGGACTGGTCTTTGGGTTTGTTTGACACCGTGCAACCTGCGATGCGCAAGCGACACAAGCACCTTGGCACAAAGGCAGACGGCATGTGCATCCGTGCACATGTATGCCAGGTCTACATGCCACAAAAACACATTTTGCATGATCAGGTTCCCTCGTGCACCAAGAGCCTGCACACAACTATTAGCAGTCTGGTGCAAGATAGAGCCCCCGAGCTACCAAAGGCCTTGGCAACTGACCTTCTGGGTGACCTACGAGCATGCCCGCGGCGCACTAGGCGCCGTCAGCGACGTCACACGAGCCCTTCTGATACTGTAGAGTGGGGGACGTGAGACAGGGCTGATTTGCAGTTTGGTTTATAAGCCCTAAACCCTCAACCAAACTAAAACAGGGTGATACAGGGTGGCAGTTTTGCAACTTGGTTCTAGCGGTGTGCAGTTGAACCCAGTAACCTCCAAAGAAGGCCATGGGGTCGGGGAATCTTGTGAGACAGGCCCAAGTGCTGAAAACTGATCGTTACCGTAGTAAAGGGGCCTCAATAATGACCAATACGTTATTTTGGGGCTCCTTTTTGCAAGTGAGTGTAATGGGCCCCAAAATTTTATTCTAATTCTTAATTGGAACCACGACATGATTTCAGGCCAACTCCCTAGTCAGAGTGTTCTGAAGCCTCTGGGCACCCTGAATCTCATAAAGCCTCCCGGTTGCTTGTTGGCATGTCTCAGAAGGACGATGGGCTTGACGCTCTCAAATTCTGGGACCCTGCTATGCGGGCTTCGTCCTTGCTATTATATGAGTAGGAGGGAAGAAAATCTCCTAGAGTCCCAGAGCTACTAAATCCTGCAGCGCAAACATGCTTAAGCCATCAAGCTAAACCCTAAACCCATAGCTGCTGCCAACCGTTCAACTCCCTGCAATGCGGGCTTCGTCCTTGCTAGGTAGGAGGGAAAAAAACCTAAACCCTATAGAACCCATAAACAAAACCCCCAGAGCCCTAAGCCCAATTTTTTTCAGGCTACGGCGGCTTCTGAGCTGCGGAGTGGAGCCGGAACCACGCAAAAAACAAAGGCTGCATTGAGATTCAGGATGTATACGGTGTTTTAGTTACGGGTTCAAGGTTAGGGTGTAGGGTTTAGGGTTGAAAGGTTACAAGGTTTCAGGTTCAGGGTTTAGGGTTTAGGCGTTGCGTCACTTCAGAGAGACCTGGTTCGACAGGGTTTTGGGTTTATAAGGCTTATAGTGTTTAGGAGTTTGGGGTTTTGAGCACGCGTCATGCTGTTTCGAGTTTGGTCCCTGTCAAAGCTCCAGTCTCTGAGCTTGTGTTCGATGTTGTTTCGACTCGACTCTATAGAAGGTCTTGCCAATTGTATATCGGGGACAAGGCTCAGTGCCATTAAGCCAAGATACATTCCACGATGTGGGCAGTGCTGGTTCAGGAGGTTGCGCGTGATCAGTTTCGATTGTTTCTCGTGGAACAAGTCACCATAAACAAGCCGCAGCGATGCCTTTAGGTTCATTTTGTGCTGGATTTGTCCATGGGCATGGAGGTGAACTGTCTCATCTTTGCGCAGGTCACCGTGCAGCTTGTACCTCGCCACAGGCGCTTGCAGCCATCGGCTCTTGAGTGACTTTGTGCATTTTGCATTCCTTCACACTGATTCGAACAATCTTAGTTCAGTTGACTTGGGGTGTTTTGGCATTGCAACCCAAAGCCTCGAAACCAGCTGCTCGACACACTTAGCATTAGACAATTCCCCCTGCTATGGATCGTTCAACATCAACCCCGAGTCATGCAGCACCTTTCCGTCCACGTCCCAAGCTTGCATACCCTCCGCCCTCCACAACCGGCTCTAGTTATAAGGGGTGACTTTCAGAACATGGGGCATGCAAACCCAGAGCTTTAAACATATTAGGGATCCTTGTTGTAAGGGCCCCTGAATTTCAGGCACACCTCTTTTGTGAAATCTCCATGAAGCGATGGTGGCTTGCATCTGCCGCTGTCGCTGTCTTGGCGATCGTCATCGGCTTCCATGCGAGGCATCCCGCCATTTTCAGGCCCTTAATGCCTTTGTGCTATAAGGTTCTATGTATTCTATGATGTACTAAAATGAAAGTCCAAGGAGTTTAGAACATCAATGTTGATTATAGTCCTAAGGGTGCTTCAAAACTGAAGTAGCAATTGGAACTGGGTTCCTTGATGGGTTCTGCAACTTCTTTGTATGACTATACGGGGTTGTGATTAATCTTTAAGACCTCTAAACAATGACTTTCAAGCGGCAAACCGCATGCCGGATCGTGCGTATACACTTGCGTCAGTCTAGACATAGAAGCCCTTCACGATGCTAGGCAGATGCCGAATAAATGTTTTCAATTTGTCAACTTTGTGTCCCAAAGCCCCTCCCAACCCTCACCACAAGTCACAAGCCCAGAACCCAAACACCCCCTACCCTTGAAACTACCTAGCCCTGTACCCTACAACGCCCCAACCCCCCTATGTAAGCCTTAAACCTTCTGATGTACCAGTGCTTGCGAAGAAACGAGCGCAATAGAGCTACCAAGAGGCTACCATAAAGCCCTGTTGTGCGTTTCTGTCGAGCCTTGCCTTGCCACCGTTAGAGACCCTGGAAGGAGTCCTCGTCGAGTCATTAAGGTGCCGACAGTAGCTAACATGTGGGCCAGACAAAAGCACCGACAGTATTCCCCACGGTTTTTTCATATAGCATCACGCACCCAAAACGTCCCAACATTTCATTCTAAAATATCGAGGCCCAAATGATCCTAGACCCCCCAGCTACCCTCTATCATTGTACTTATCATGGGGCCTCTATTGAAGGGCCTTGGGGCGTCCTCATAGAGCTTAATTAAGCCCCAACCCCCCTAAGCCCTAAACCCTCAAAGCCCTGGTCCGTAGACTTCTTCTTGGGGCCCCCCTTTGTTAAGGGAGGCCAAGAGCTAGCCCAGGGCAGGCGAAAAGAAGCTGCCGGGCAGCCCTTGCACACGCATCGAGGCCCTCGCTTTGAGTCTCCCTTGGGGCTCCAGTTACCTAAATCGGTGGTTGTCTAAATTAGGGGCCCTTTTTGGGTACCCTAAATAATAGGTGCCGTATTATAATAATGAGCCCAAAAGGGACCCTAATTCTGACAACCACCCAAATAATAGGTTACTAACCATAGAATACGGTTAAGGTTGAGGGTTTAGGGCATAGAATATCAACCCAGTAATCCGCTTTTAGGGTAACTGGAGCCCTAGGGGACCATGAAAAGCAGTGGAGTCTAGAAGGGCTTAAAGTTTTGGAGAGGGTACACACACCAGGTAACCCTAATTTTTTTTATTTGCGAAGGCTGCATGGCTTCAGGCTCCCAGTCGTTTGAAGGTTTAGGGTTTAGGGGCATGTCGGGCATCGGGCGGGACAAGAGTCAGCAGCAGTGACGCCTATGCACCGCAAGCTCCCTGAACCCTACACACCCGAAACCCTGAATCCTACCCTGTACAATTCTCATCCAAGCCGCGTCAACACCTACAATTGAGCTCCGATGGACCGTTTCTCCTGGCACCGAATGATTCGTAAGACTCTACTCCAAACCTGAGCCCAGAACGCTGCACCCCCGAAAAACCTACACCTCAACTCCCCCTTGCAACAAATCCTGAAACCATCATACACTACCTGATCGTGATACGCCTTTCCTCAAGCCGGCGCGCCACCCAGAGCAACGCAGGACAAAAGCGACTAGTTGTCAGTAGTTATCAAGCACAAACCCCAACCCCCCAAAGCAGCAACACAAAAGCTCCAAAAGCAGTGCCAATCCCTCCAATGATGCAGCTCTGAGAATATTGAAAAGATCAGGTCGGGTCATTCGTTCGCCTGTCCTACGACCTCTTTTATGCCGAGGACCACTCTGCAGCACCCGGAGCTTCACAGCATGTTTGCTTAAACGAAACGGGGTTCTAGAGGTGTCCAGTTAAGGTTCCATAAAGTTGCTGTAGGGTAAGGGCTCTGCAGGTGTACTATAACGGTCTTGCAGGGTTTGGGATGTGAGATGCGAGCCCCTTGTACTTTTCGAAGATCCTCGTATCCAATTCGCACATACCTTTGGCCATACATCCATGTCTATACATATATATATATATATATACACGTGTATATATATATATATATATGTATATGTATATGTATATGTATATGTATGTATATATATATATGTACACACAATGTATTTATATGTATATGGACAGTTAGACATTTACATAGATCTATCGACAGATAGATGTGCAGCTGAAGCGTACCCCTAAAAGGCACATGGGTTTTGAGGGGTCGTGCTTAACAAAAACGTAATGCAGGAACCTGATTAAGAAACCTTGGGCCTCTATTAGGGTTGCGATTATGAATCCTACTAGTTTGGGGGTTATAGGCCCAGGGTTTCTTAATCAGCTTACATTATTCTGAACTCGCCTGCTCAACCCTACAGCTTCAGTTCTTTGCCCCAGCGCCGAAACCTTTCAGGACCGTGGAAGCAGTGTAATGCAGGAACCTGATTGAGAAACCAAGGCCGCTTCATGTAAAGAACAAGACTTTAAATTCTGAGGTCTAGTTTTTTGGTGATGAGCTTCTGCACTCGGCTCCCGAATCGGCTTGAGCCTTTCTGAATGCTCGATGCAAGGTAACGGACGGCCACGGAACGTTGGAGTTCGAGGCAACACAACAACACTATCGAGTTACTGGTCGGATAAGCACCCGTCAATACTCGTGATCAAGCTGGGATGACGAGCGGTTGCAGCTGTAGTTATGCAGCCGATGAAACCCCAAGCAGCGGCGTGCATGAGCTCTTGTGGTGCAGTCAGGGGTTACGGCTTGTTAGGTATGTATGAGGCCGACCAAGGCAGGGTCGCAGAGACGGTTATGTTGATCTTATTCATTATTGCTGATTGGGGCAGAAGTTGGACCAACGAGGCTTCACTTCTTGTGTTCTCGCGCGGCTGTTGGATCAGTTGGATCCTAGCTAGCCCTGCTATGTTGCGCGTCAGTGGTTCCAACCCTTATATTGCCTTACACGTTCGGAAGGGGCTTAGACATCTTGGGGTTGCGTTGCCTGAAAAGGTTGCGATGCCGAATGTGCAATTCGCAGGTTTTCGTTTGGGGTGACGTGTGTTCTGTGATTTCTGGTTGCCATGTCACCACAGAACGGGAGTTGCAGCGCAACGGGCCGCAATACAGAACTCTGTATCAACGTAGCCGTTTTATGAGGGAAATGAATGAGTTGCCAGTCAGTCAAACATCCCTGTCGCAGCAGGTGGGCCGCGGAGACGTTTTCCCTGCAGTGGACCGGAATGTTCGGGGCCTCACCGTCGGGGACACAAAGGACAGGGTTTCGGGCTTAGGGTTTCTAGGCACCCCTCAGATTCGACCAACCGGCATACTGCTGCAGGGGTTTGGGAGTTCGCAAGGTTTGGGTCGATACCCTACGGCCCCAAAGTAGTTCCTTTTTGAGGTTCGTATATAGAATCCGAAAGGTAATCCCAAAAAGGAACTACTTTTGGGCCTATGGGTACTCTCCAGTACTCTGAGTAAACGTCAACTGTTCTGGCGGCGCAAAGTTTTTTTTCACAATCTGCGCCCGAGAAGAAGGGCAGGCTCAGGTCGATATGCACTATACCGAGGCTTCAAACAAGCATACCGAGTTGTGTTCTGAGTTTCCCGATCCGGGCAACCCACTTTCAAGCATCATAGGCTAATGGGCTTGAACTCGTAGCCTAAAGGACTATAACGTTTCCCTGTGCTTCTGCGGCCATACTTTTCCAGGCTGTTCCCAACAGCAGCACTTTACCCTTGAGCGACCGCATTTTACCCGACAGGCCAATCGAGATATATAACGATGATGTTGATGGAAGCGGACGCGTTTTACCCGATGCCTCGGCACGACACGAACAATAGAAGCGGACACGTTTGGCCGACCAGTTTCAATATGGACAAAAATAGAAGCGGACGCATTTGGCCGACCACTCCACCCGAAATGCCGACCAAAGCCAACACGCCGCTCGACCCCAAAAGGAACCGTGAGAAAACCGTGAGTAACCATGAGTGGGGTGTTGGTGGGCCCGCCGTTCCTCTACGAAAGCTCTTGCTCGACCCCAAAAGGAACCGTGAGAAAACCGTGAGTAACCGTGAGTGGGGTGTTGGTGGGCCCGCCGTTCCTCTGCGAAAGCTCTTGCTCGACCCCTGGAAACTTTTGGCTGTTCGGATTGGCGGGTCTCCAAACTGAGCGGGGTAAAATGTAGCTGTTCGGGCCAACGGGTCTCATAACCCAGTCGGGGGAATTTGCGGCTGTTGGGACCCCGCTGAACATTAATAGGCATGGGCCCTGCTAGGGGGAAAATGGAGTGGTTCAAACCGGATTTGCGAACAGACTAACTTTTCCTTAGCCCAACGTCAACGCCCAAGGTTTTCTTGTCTGTTGGAAGCATAGGGGTTTTTTGTGCGGGTCGAAGCCTCGTATGGATCTGTTCTGACCCTGACCTCTGAGCATTTCATGCCATAGAAACAGTAATTCCTACCTACGAGGAGTCCCAGTTTTATTTATCCTCACTTGAACGCTATCGTTTCCTTACGTTTCCCGGCGTTTCCTAGATGCTGATGAGACAGCGCGGGCCGTATTTCCGTAGTTACCAGTGTTTGTATTGCCGGTGGCTTGGGGCAATGTTAACTTCAAGGCTTATAAACCCTAACCCTGTAATCCCTGCCAGGTTTGTCCCAGCTGTGAGTGCTGAAACCCCTAGGCCCTAGACCCTGACAATTAATCAGTTCCCCAATGCTCAGCCTTTAAACTGTTTGGGTTCTTATAGTTTAGTACGAATTGGAAAGTGTAACCTTTTATTTCTGTGGCTTATTGGGGTAGTAAGATTTCATTAGTTAAAACCCTGACAATGAGGACTTCCCCTTCACTGGAGACTCCGGCTTCGGCGAGCGCCGTGCCGACTGGGTCGTAGATTACGATCGAAGTTTCCCGGCGGCGAATCAGTTTCTGTGTGCGTCTTTGGTTGCGAGCCTGTCTAGAGTCTATAGATGGCGCTGACGGAGCTGAAAATTTGACTTCTGATGGAGCTGTGACAGGTACCATGCACTTTTCACTGCTCGTGGTCGTCTTTGTCATCGTCACTGTCGTCGTCTTTGGTCGCTGCAGCAGGAAATCACAGACGCCTTGAACTCACAAACTCCTAAAGCCCCGCAGCCCTCCGACCTTTTGTCGATCCCGTCTTGAAGCTGTAAACGAAACAAAGCTCCCCCAGGCTACTTTGGAGACGTGGCGGTAGGGATGCCTGTGACGGTTCAAGGCAGCACGGCCGTCGTGGAAGCGGTGACGCTTGGTACTTGTCAGGTTAATGGGGTTTGAGGTTGCTAGGGGCTCGAAGTGGGTTGTTTCCGAATAAGGGGGACCCTGTCATAGGACCCTAAATAGTAGGATCCTTATTATCAGGACCCCCAAATAAGGTACCCTCTTTTCGGAAACTCTCAAGTAAAGGCTATCGTACGTGGCTTAAGGTTGAGTAGGGTTTTACGGAGTTGGCTTCAGGTGTTGAATTGGGTGGTCGCCAAAAATATGGTCCTTTTATGGGTCCTTACTATAATACGGCACCTAATATTTAGGCTACCCAAAAAGGGACCATAATTTTGACAAACCACCTGAATGTCTAGGGCGGAAGGTCCGAAGGCTATAGGGTTGAAGACTCTAGGGCCGCAGCGTGGCGTGAAGTTGAGTTTAAGTTGCCCCAAAGACTTAAAGGGTCCGAGTAATCGTATAGACATACACACACATACACACACACACACACACACACATATATATATATATATATGCTAGCCCCCCCCCCCAAGACCAACCCTGAATTCCCTAAATTCCCTAACTCCCTACCCATTGGATTTAGGGAATTCCCTAAATTCCCTAAATTCCCTAAATTCCCTAAATTCCCTAATTCCCTACCCCATGTGTTGGATTTAGGGAATTCCCTATTTCCCTAAATTCCCTAAATTCCTTAAATTCCCTAAATTCCCTAAATTCCCTAATTCTGACCCCCATGGATCAGATTCAGTGGTTTCCGTTCATGGGTAGGGAATTTAGGTAATCTAGGGAATTTAGGGAATTTAGGGAATTTAGGGAATTTAGGGAAATAGGGAATTCCCTAAATGCAACACATGGGGTAGGGAATTAGGGAATTTAGGGAATTTAGGGAAACAGGGAATCCCCTAGATCCAACACATGGGGTAAGGACTTAGGGAATTTAGGGAATTAGGGAATTCCCTATAAGGGTTAGGTTTAAGGAATTTAGGGAGTTTAGGGAATTAGGTAATTCCCTAAGTCCAACAGATGGGGTAGGGAATTAGGGAATTTAGGGAATTTAGGGAATTAGGGAATTTAGGGAATTCAGGGAATTTAGGGAAATTAGGGAATTTAGGGAATTTAGGGAATTCCCTAAATCCAACACATGGTCCTGGCTGGGAGTCAGGAAAGTTAGGCAATGGGCTAAAACCAACACATGGGGCTGGAAATTAGGGTATGTAAAGACTTTAGGGATTTAGGGAGTCTGCAGGAACTCACGCATTCTGTAAATTCGAGGCATGGAAGCAGTGATTAGAGAATTTAGGGAACTCGACCTCGCGACGTCGCCGGTTGACGGGTCTGTGCAACTGATACTTGTAATAATATTGATATTATTTTGAAAATGTTGAAAACTATAATACTCGTACGAGTACTAATACTTATAGTAATACTACTGGTGAAACTGATAGTAATGCTAGTATGAATACTGATGTTCCCAAGAATACTAGAAATCATGTACATTGTAAGAATAGTCTTGATGCGAATACTAATATACATACTATAGCTAGTATTATCGCTAGTATGAATATTGGCTACGCATATTCGTGAAATTACTCATTTTCGGAGTACTCATAGTCATGATAATATTAGCATTAAGGCTAGTGCGAGCGTGCATAATAAAATGCTCATACATGAATGTTAGCATTCGCATTTATATCAGCATTGGCATGTTTTCCAGTAGTACTAGTAACTCATACGAAGAGTAACCAAAAGTTTCATATTCCGACGAATACCAACGCATGTTTTGTTCATGCTAATTTTAATTCTACTACTACTAGTATCTACTCCTAGTATTGAAAAAATTGTACCAATACCAATTTTAGAACTGATGTGAGCACGAACTTTAATGTTCTTGCCAATACTAATATGCATAGTAATATTAGTTAGCATTAATGTATAGGAAAACTAATGTTCTTACGAATACTAATAATCATGTTCCCCTTTTATATTCATATAAGAATCGTCATGCCTAGATACGTACTAATGCTAGTACTCATGCTAATACGAGTATTAATACCAATACAAGCATATGTATGAATATTCCTACGGGTATTTATGCTCATGTTCTTAACAAATTTATTCTCAGTACGAATACCGACATTAATAGTCTCTTTAGAACAATTTTGATATTAGTATGAACACTAATACTTCGGCTAGTACGAACATGCATAATACTAGTAGAATTATTTGTGCTCATACAAATATAGAAAGATTATTACATACTCATATTAATATCAATGCCAATATGAATTTACAAACATCATATTAATGTCAATATCGTTTTTGTGATGTATACTAAAGAACACATCAGAATAAGGCACAAGAAAATGAATGCTTCAGATTGTTACAAACTCAATGTTTTCATTTACCAATATGTATGGTTATAGTATTATACTAATATACTAATAAAATAATATACCAATATACGAGTATACTGAAAACTGTTTTTGTTAATATACATGTTTTGTTTATATACCAATATACTGAATATACACATATGAATACTGATACACCTAATGTACTAAGACTAAGTTTTTAAGGCCCAGCCCACGTCTAATATTAATACGAATACTAACACGAACACTAACACTAACACGGCTTTAGACATATATTAAACTAAAACTGGAGCACTAATACTCATATTAATATTAAGATTAACACTGACGTTGACACTGACACCAGCATCAGCACTAACAGGAACATTAATCAAACGAATAATACTATTGGACAGATACCAGCAGCATTGTTAGAACTTCCAAAATTAGTAATGACACAAAACAAATACTAATGCTAACGCTAGCAAAATATTAGGGTTACTACTCACAATCATTAAGGTTAAAACTTAGAACAAAATTAAGTCAAGACCAATGTTAACACTGTTTTTTTAAGACTGAAACTAAGAATAAGACTTTGACAAGATGACGATAATTAATAAAGGATGAGGCACACAAACTGGACTCTGACTTTTACCACTCCGACAAGACGCGCCCAGAGTGTAAATGGTGTCCATAAAACTGAACCCTGTTTTTTACCAGTCTGTCAAGAGGCGTCGAGAGTGCAAACTTTGTACGGGAACACAAACACCATCGGTATTTACAGTGGTTTCGGCTCTTATCCATGACGCTGTGAAGACAGTAGTGAGCAGGACAATGGTCGAGGTTGGTCTTGGGGGGGGGTTACCATATATATATATATATATATATAAGGCGCGACGAGTTGGAATCGAAACGGTGACCGTATGTCAGACCTGCACAGGCTTTAGCACTTGCAACCAACACTTGCAGTCTGTTGGAACAGCTCGCTGTGTTCGGGCGTCACACTTGCCTCTCTGTTTTTTGTGGGTGAGGTGTTTGTTGGCATAGTGAGCGTTAGTGCTTGGAGAAGATCTGCAGTCACATGGCCCCCACGACAGAGAAGACATGGTACGCAGAGGGTAAGATAGGGCCTTCAAAAGTGGAAGTTGGCTTTTGGTGTTTTAGTTGTGAGCCCTTTGCATCCTCCACTTCGGCCCGGCCGGTGAGGTGATGGGGTCAAAATCCCTTCTCACTACAAAGAACCGAAACCCATGGGAGCCCATGAGAATTTCAATCACGGTCTTGGAGCCAGTGAAGGGGTGCAGAGGAAGGAAGGGGGGTGGGGGCGTGGATCAGCTCAGGAAGGGTAGGATCAGAAACTCAGACCGCTTCGGCAAGGGCCAAGGCGAATTTGGTACAAAAACAAGAGGGAACCCCAAGAAGTGCATTACTAATCTGGGTTTTTATAGTGTAGTAGGAATGGCAAGTTTACCCTTGTATTTCTGTGGCTTATTGGGGTAGTAAGTGACTGTTCAGGCTTCTTTACATAAAGCAGTGTCTGTTCATTTGTTACAAGCATCTGGATCGTTCCTTTCACCGTCAGTCGTTTCACTCCAAGACTGCAATCTTTTGCACATCGACAAACTTTTCCACGACCCGCCATGGGGTACGTGTTGAAGTTTGAAGGGCAGCTCAGCTGGACAGACGAGTCCCAGACCGATTCGGCATTTCTCCAACATTATTGACTCTGTTTTGCCTTCCTCTTGTTATCCATTGTCGCCACGATGCCACACCTTTGGTTACATTGCTTACGGTGGCTAAAATACCCATAGGCCCCAAAGTAGTTCCTTTCTGGTATTATTTTTTCGGATTCTATATAGACGAACCTCAAAAGGGAACTACTTTGGGGCCGTAGGGTAAACCCTACAAAAAAAGCATCGACTCAAGGAGCGACAGCAGCGTCCGCCTGGACTTCAACCATCCATTGGCTGGTAACTAGGTAGGGCTTTGGGAGATTTTATATTTTCCCTTATGTGGGAATAAGAGGATCCTATCTACTAATATTTTTCAAAGGCTTTAAAAGCCCCACCTAGGTATAAACTTGACCATGACAGTCGTCGCGCCTTGGATTTGAGCAGCGGAAGACTGAAAGCCAAGCCCTATATGGGAGTTTCCGAAAATAGGGGTACCTTATTCTGGGGTCCTTATAATGAGGATCCTACTATTTAGGGTACTATATTCGGGTCCCCTATTTTCGGAAACTCCATATAAACCCTAAACTCTAAACTGCAGTTAAGGTTGGACCCGGAAGTTTTGTAAGCATCGGGATACATTCTTAAGGCAATTCTGGCTGGCGCCACGTCTCAGAAGCATCTTCCCAGTCGCTGAGTACGGATTTGCCGGCTAGCCGTTTGGGAGTCGCCGTGTTGGCCTGTAACTAGGCGGAGGGCCGAGCTGTAGTCACCATTGCCGTTCCCTACAAGGGTTGGTGTTGAAGGATTGTTTATGAGGGAAAGCACATAAGCATAAGCATTTTATGGTGATATCCCTCCCTTCTTGGGCTTCATTGCAATTTCGTGGGGTTTATATGGGAGATCTCTATCATCATTTTTGCTTATTTGCTTTTTGGAGGCCCTATGCTAATTATAGGTTTAGGACCAGCATTCTGGGCTTACAGTCTCCTTTGTCCTGCATGTTTTGGTTTCCATGAACCGGTTCTTGCATAGGATCCCACCCAAACCCCATACCTGAACCCTAAACACCCTAGGGCTCGTAGTGTCTATAGGCAAATCCAGGTCAGTATGGCGCACTTCCTCTTCCAAACTCTCGGCTCTGCATGCTAAACACGAACCCCCACTTGAGCCCCAAACCGCCTAGTTTAGCACCGTATCTTAAGTCGTTCGGTAAACACCCACCCACACACACACACGCATACTTATGTACTTTTTGTATCTGGGTTTCTACTATAACAGAGCAGAGTATACTATGGTATAAACCTGTGCCGAAAAAAATGTGAAAGCTAAACCCCTAAAGCCCGAGGCCTACATGCTGCAGACCCTGCATAATTCTGCCAAAAAGAATCAAAAACAACGACTCAAAGCCCCTAAGCTCTAGACCCCAAACCAAGAGCAAAGACTGAAAACCCCAAAGCGCTAAACCCCAAACAGAGGTTCTGGAGTGCCGGGAGAGCACGGCTCCAGGGGTGCGCGTCGAAGTGCTTGCGGCCGGGGACGGCGTCCGAACACCTCAGGACTCGAACCGGGCTACCCTACGCCCCAAAGCCAGAATTTATGGCTCCTGCGTTTGGGGCTGAAAAGTTAGGTCAATTTGCCTCAGTCTCCAACGCAGTTCAAGTGTTTCTAACACCAAAAGGACATACGTAGATGGGAGAATCGGGTCCGTTGCGTTGAGGTCGTCAGCTTGTGGGGTAACGGAGCTCGATGTCCCTTGCCGGATATATGGCGTCAAGCTGTGAAGCTTGTTTGGGCCTGAACATATGTGGACTGTAGTGTAAGTAACATCCGGGGGCTCATATCATCGTCGAGACTGTGTTTCGGTGCTATTGGATGTTCGTAGCAGTGTCTACTTCTGGCTTAAAGACATACCACCGACCTACGGTTGATGATGTAAATCCTGCAATACCCATAATAAGGAATATACCATAAATCCCATAGTCTAGGGTCCTTAAGGTAATGCAGGATTTATATCATCAACAGTACTAGCTGCCATCAGCAAAGCCCAGCCCCAGATTCGGAATCTCAATGTCCAAACCCGGTCCTGTCGCAGGCCTTCGGCCTTTCGGCCTGTGGGTGTACTTGTGGTTCAGGGTTTACCCTAAGGCCCCAAAGTAGTTCCTTTTTGGGGTTCGTATATAGAATCCTATAAGCTAATCCCAAAAAGGAACTACTTTTGCGGCCTATGGGTAGCTGTTGAGTGAAGTCCTGAGTAGTCAGCCCGGAGAGCGACTGCTTGTGTCCTGCCTTCAGCACGCAGTGGAGGAGGCTGGGATGTAAAGGCACTCCAGGCGAAGTGCGAAGCCAAAGGGTCAACGGCTTAAATCCGGAAATATAATGTCTCTATTTTTGAGTCATGCAATGGTGGCTGGCAAGTTAAGGAAGCATTGAAGAAGCACTCCTGAGTGGCCTAAATGGGCTTATAGGAGCTCCGACCAGCCTCTGGCGATACCCGGGGATGGCCTTACCAAGACTGCTTGAAGGGTTTGATGCAGAGGTTGTAAAGGCGTCCTTTAACGGGTGTATACGCTTCTTATACGGGTCCATATGTACAACCATGACAAGTAAGCCTGAAAATATCATCTTCATTACAAGTATTTAGTGGCCTACATCCAAGTCCTGAACACTGAGCTCTAGTTCCTCAAAGCATCTGTAGTCCGCTGTTCTTCGAAGTTACCCTGCAATGCGGGCTCGTCCTTGCACATTCCTGAAGTGCGGACGTTTTAGGCTTGAGGGCCACAAGACTGTTGCTACAAGCCGCAAACCCCTAAGCCTACTAAAGGCGAAAGTGCAACCGTACCACATTTCCAAAGTCAGACCTCGCGAGCGGGCATAGACTCCACAGCAATGCGAGAGGGAAAAACAAACCCCAAACCTCAAACCGTCCTTGATTTGCAGTTGGAGGGTGTGAGGGCCGCAGTCACACAGCCGAAAGCCGTTTAGACCCCGGTTGGTGCGATATTTGTTGGGCGTAGTTTTGGATGGTGTTATAAGGCAAATCGAGGTGACTAAGACTTCAACATTGAGTGCGTCCGGTCTAGGGGCTTCTAGTTCTTAGTTCCCCAATACCAAACCTTCAATTTTTTTTGGTTCTCAAAGTTTAGTAGTTTAGTAGGAATCGGAAAGTTTAGCATCTTATTTCTGTGGCTTATTGAGGTAGTAAGAGTTTGATGTGCGAGCTCTCCAGGATGGCGACAAGGTCAGCATGAACTGCGAAGGCGGGACCGACCAGGAAGCAAGGAGGGCTATACCACAGTGCAGATTCCGTTGTCGGCTTTATCTAGGGGGTAGTTTCCAACTGGCCATGGAATGAGGAGAGTTGTGCATCATTTTCATCTTCAGGGTAGATTGTTCACAAGAACTAGGACCCAGAGTAGGCCGCTATTTGTCTTTTTTAGGGTTTAGGTTCTCTTAGTACACCCTTTAACCTAAAAAGGGCACTCTTTTGATTCCTATGTTGCTCTTGGGTCTAGAGAATATTGAATAGCCGTGACCACAAGCTACAAATTCCCTGGGAGCGAACAACAGATGCTGGGTTTAGGGGTACGGTCTTCCGAAAGAAGCTGTGCATGACAGGAAGTGGTATGCTAATCGCTACCAAGTTTTGTTTGTTCCCAGCTCAGAAGTGGAATCTGGCAACACCAACGCCGAAAATCTTGTCATGCTATAGCTTGGGGTGCTAATTATCGGGCGTTTTTGGGGCTGCCGCAATCTATGAGCGGCGGCTTTCCTACAAGAGTGCCCTTGGTGCGCAGCTGTGTCTAACGGCTCCAACCGTCGGCCACGCTAGCACGTTCCCTTTGCGTTTCCCAGCCGGGGGTGCTGCAATGTTCATGGCTTTCCAAATCCTCTTCGTTTCGTGGAAGTTGAATGAGCACACTTTACACTTTTGAGGATCATTGTAATGAAGATGTACGGTTTAGAGTTTCGAGTTTAGGGCTCAGGGTTTACGGTGTACATTGCATAATCTCAACAACTAAGGTTTCCATCTTGGCTGCGGCCGATGCTATGCGCGCGGTGGAGCCTTCGGCTGTGTCTGCTGGGCCTGAGACGAGTGCCTACAATGAGGTCGTGATACCCAAGGCCTCCCAGCGTAGTATAATGTAGGAACCTGATTAAGAAACCTCGGGCCTTTATTAGCAGGTTCGTTATTTGAATCCTACTATTTTGGGTTATAGGCCCAGGGTTTCTCAATCAGGTTCCTACATTCGGTGCCTTGATAATTTGAGACGCCATGCAGGAGGCAAAAAATAATTTGAGTAGGGTTCCGGAAATTAAAGGGTTCCGCTGAGGGATACTAGAAGGGTACTACAAGAGTTTAGTACAGGGGCCGGAAGAATTTGGATCATTCTGATTCGTGTATTGTCACATGTTGTAAGCAAGGTAGGCTTACCTTTGGTTAGTAGGGAATGGAGGAATGGGGTACAATTATAACTACTATTTCTACCATTCTTCCATTCACTACTAACCAAAGGTAAGTAGGGGGGCCTTCCCACCACCGCGTCTTACCGAAGGTCTCTGAGCTGGAGGAGTGGAGGGAGAAGCTTTCGTCGGCCGAACCTCTGCAACTGCCCATAGGAGCAGATTACGCCTGGGCTGAACAGATTTCAGGGTTGCCGTTTACGGATTTGAGTGTATGGTTTGAGTAGCTTCTGCGGCTGAACTCGCATGGCCTTTACAAAATACATTGTACCATCAGCGGTACCTAAGTATACCGGCAGTCATTCTACTTGTGCAGGAGGCATCCATCAAGAGTGGGATGAGGAGGTAAGGGCTGGGAACCCCAGGGGGGTTGCTCGAGTGGAGGAAATCGGTGCTGCAACACGTGCCCAGTGTACTGGGATGGAAGTTGGACTGGAAGACTGCCTGGACTTTTTGCATTCGCTGCCACTAGAAAATGTAGTAGATACTTCGTATGTTTTCATCACCGAAGGAGACAAACGCAGCTTTGGGCACAAGGGTTCCATACTTGGCCTCAACATATAAGCCTGCCAATCAGGCGCTTCGTGCGCAGTGGAGTTCTATGGTAGCTCACCCGAGATGTCTCCGAAGACAACACCTATCCCCCAGAATGGGCTTCCCCAGACTCTTTTGTTTGGGATACTTTTGCCCCAATCAGCCACAGAGGTATCTCCCTTAAAAGCTCAAGTAAACTGGACAGGTAGGCTTCATGCAACGTCAGCACTTCTGCCAAAACCCAACTACTGACTGTCCCACATCATGACATAATGTCCTGACCTTGTACTGTTGCTTGGATAGATAGATGTCCAGCCAGCTGCCCATCAGATTGTTTTTTGGTGGAGGGCGGTGTGGGGGGGGGGAGGGGGGAATAATTGGCGGGTGCCCACATCGCGCAAACTGAACCTAAACCCAGGATCCAGAACATTCTACTCCAAACCCTGCACATGTTGCAGGGGCTTCTTCCTTTCACTACTACCTGTTTCTGATAGGATCCAAAGACGCCTTCATCATCGACATTTCCATGCGCATGGCTCTGCTCGCCTATGGTCGGACAACCTCATCTGGTGCCACTGGCCGTGTCTTGGTTGCCGAGTTTTGGCCAACAGGTTCGTAGTCACAGTGACAAATAGACTGACTGTAAGAACAGTATAGTACGTGTTATTACATGCCGGCCATGTTCATGTAGGATTCCAAAAACACAGCGGCGGTTGCGCGCACAACTGCTTCACATGTTGAATGTTATGACAGTTGCTGTGAATAATGCTGGGCATACTGTTGCCATTTGGTTGTTGCGTTCTTTGTGATATCTACTACTACTACTACTACTACTACTACTACTACTACTACTACTACTACTACTACTACTACTACTGCTACTGCTACTAGTACTAGTACTATTACTACTACTACTACTACTACTACTACTACTACTACTACTACTACTACTACTACTACTACTACTACTACTACTACTACGACGACTAGTACTACTACTACTACTACTACTACTACTACTACTACTACTACTACTACTACTACTACTACTACTACTGCTCCTACTGCTACTGCTACCGCTACCGCTACCGCTACCGCTACCACTACCGCTACCGCTACCGCTACTGCTGCTACTGCTGCTACTGCTACTGCTACTGCTACTGCTACTGCTACTGCTACTGCCACTGCCACTGCCACTGCCACTGCTACTGCTGCTGCTGCTACTACTGCTACTACTACTGCACTTTGGCGTGCCATGTGGGTGACAAAAAACTACTACTACTACTACTACTACTACTACTACGACTACGACTACGACTACTACTACTACTACTACTACTGCTACTGCTACTGCTGCAGTTAAAGTATGTGCAACTAGATGTGGGATGTACACCGACGTATCTTCGAACATTCCGGTGATACGTGGAGGAAGGCTAAGACCAGGCTGTTCGGATATAATATAGGGCCTTAATTACCTATACTATCTTTTTTTGGGGGGGGTCCTTATCATAGTTTATCATCGTATATCGGGCCCCCAAGCTTTTAAGACTATTCTAATATAAGGCCCCTACATTTTTCTGCGTGCCAGTCCATCGGCTCCACTGGCCCGTAGTGTTGGCTTTGCTTTGCATGATTCATGGGTAGTTGATTATAAGTAAGGTAACTATATACTTACAACCCTTGTTGGGGACTTATAGCGCCACTTACAACTACCCATGAAACTCCCAGTAGTTGGGACCCATTGCTGGAATCCGCGCCTGCCCGGGGGGGGGGCCTAAAATCCTTTCGCAATTCCCCCTGCACCTATTGGGTTGCTCGTGACCTCTATTCGGAGGCAACGCAAAGCTGCGATTCCTAATCCCACAAGATGCAAGACCCCAACACCCTAAACCATGCAAGTGGCAAGCCCCATATGCATGCAACTGCATGGCCCCCTTACACCACCCAGATTGACTCAGGTGTGCAGTTTTTTGCGCCTGGGCAAGAGGAGCCCATCAGCATGTTGGAGCTGACGGTGAGGCCTTCTTGCCCAAACCTTTGCAGTCCCCAAGCCCCAAACCCTAAACCCCCTGTACAATAACCTTAGTACCGTCAAGTCTTTAAGCCTAAGGACCTTAATAATTGCCTATGCTGTTTTGGGGGTTCCTTATTATAACCATAGTATAATGGACCCCAACACCCTATAGGCCCCTCTGTTAAACCCTACGTAAAGCATTTGCCGGAGCATGGTCAGGGGTGTGGAGGCTGATGCGCAGCGCATCGCGAAGCTTCATCTCACTGAAAGGCAAGCAGGTGGGGCTGCCCCTAAAAGTCTGGGTGCCCTTAACGCGCCCCCCTAAACCCGTGTTACTATAAGGGTTGCAAGGCTGGGTTCTCAAATGGAGGTTTAGGGGAATTGTAACAAAGGTTTAGGGATGATTAGTACCAAAACCCCAAACCTTTATTATCAAACCTAAATTAGGTTTGATAATAAAGGTTTGGGGTTTGGGGTCTAGGGGGTGTAGGGGTGGCACGGTCCCGCCTGGTAAGGAGATCATGACGTGGAGGTTCATAGGTAGCTATAAGTGGGGCTATAAGTCTCCCAATAAGGGTTAATTAGAGGTATAGTCATCTTAATTACTCAAAATCCCACTTATAACTACCCATGAACCTTCAAGTACTTGTGTCGACCCACAGTCAGGTCTGAACAGTTCACAGCAAGACGACAGCCCTTACGCTGTGGTCTATATGGTGAAGCTGCCCGAGGGAGGCCACGGCTTGATCTTGAGCTTTAAAGGGTCCACGAATAGCCTCGACTGGATGAGAAACTTCAACATCTTGCCATCACGGCTACGCTCCGACGACAGGGTGAAAGTGCATACAGGCTTTGCTACACATGTTGAAAGCATCTTCAAAACTTTGTCCAGATTTGGGCGAAGTGTTGCATCACTCTACCATGCCTGGGCAGCGTGGGGCATTCCCAGCAACATCCAGAACATGGCGGACTTCGTGACCAGTGGTGATTGGAAATGGTGTATTTGTGTAGGCCATAGCCTAGGTGGAGCTATGGCTGCCATCGCAGCGGAAAAGATCGCAAGCGCCGCAAACCGCCCCAATTCGGTGTATGCAGTTTCCATCGCCGCCCCCGTTCCTGGCAACAAGGCATTTGTCACAGCCACTCAGTTCCCCAATACCCAACCTTTAAGCTTTTTGGTTTCTTATAGTTTAGTAGGAATCGGAAAGTTTTTGTATTTTATTTCTGTGGCTTATTGGGGTAGTAAGGACATGAAGAAGAAGGTGCAGCCTCAGGGTGGTCTTCGCATTGAGAATCCATTTGACCTCGTGTTTGGGCCACTGTCTAATAGCATTTTCCTTCTTTAGGTGTACGGAACTGGTGCAGCTTATGCGAAGGAAGAACCACGTCATGTGAGTTGCAGTTAGCCGCAGAGCCCCAGAAAGTATGCATTTCCCTGAATGTTTCGGGTAATGTTGGAGGTGGGGCTACTACTAGTAATTAGTACGGTGCATGTGTCGAGCATGACCAGGTCCCCTGGAGCGGCTATGGTGGCTTGAGGCTCATATCTCGCGACGTCAATGGCATTGTCTGGGTACTTCCCAAAGACCAATGGATGAAACGTACCGCCAAGATCTCCGCCCACATGATCTTTAACGTTATCGAGCATGGTGAGGGCAACACTACGAAGCATTTCCGATATGAGTTCGGGGATCATGAGACAAACAGCGATCCAGCAGCAACAGCCGCTAAGAATTACGTCGATGTGGATTCACTCGATGCGAACTTCAGACCCTTGTCCTCAAGATCTTCCTGGCAAGCTTTACATTCTGATTAATGTAGGAACCTGATTAGAAAACCTTGGGCCCCTTATACGAATCCTAATACATTTTGGTTATGGGGCCGGGGTTTCTTAATCAGGTTCCTGCACTAAAGGGATCTCCCCGGCTTCTTCTGGTTTAGGGTCTGCATTTTTGTTGTCATGGTTAAGGGTTCAGGGTTGCAACAGTGGTGACCGAGTCCGAGTGCCTCTCTTGCCGCTGCTCTTACTCGGCATGAAGCTGAAGATCATGAAACTTATTTATGCTAGTTCTTGGATGATGGAGCCATAATGCTTGACAAGCTTGAATATACAAATAATTGGAAACATCTTCACATAGCCGTCCTGCATGTGCGCACTCAGTTTTTTCCAGGTGGAAGTATCCAAAATCTACACCCAAATCGAACCCCCAAGCCTGAACGCCTGAACCTGAAGCCCCACGGAGCCCTGAACCCCAACAACCCCCGTAAACCCTAAACTCTGAAAATCATTAGACAAGGGGTCTCAGTCGCACCTCAGCCTGGAATGGTCAAAGGCTTCCCTATTAAAGCGTTCATTTAAGGTTTAGGTTTTACAGGGTTTACTTAAACCCTAAACATCCTACATTTTTAATTTTTAAGGTTTCTTATTATGATTTCCTATTGTTATCCTTGAACATGTAGATTCTCTAGGGTCAAGGCAGAGTTAGGGATTGATGTGTCAGTGCTCTTCCTTGGGTAAGCACAGCGTTTCGGGTTTAATCGGGCATAGGTATTAGGGTCTAGGGCTTCAGAGACTACAGGTATGTCTCCAAGTAATGGGGGATCTTTTGGAGGGTCCTTATACAAGGGCCCTGTCTGAGGGCCCCTGCTAGGGATAGTATACTTAGGGGTTTGGGATTTACGGTTACACAATGGGGTATAAAAGCGGACCCTGCAGATGTTGAGGAATGCCCAACATCCAAAGTTGAACATCGCGCTGCACAGTGATTTGACCTCCTCGTCCTGTTGCGGGAGACCCCAGAACCCCTGGAAAACAAAAGGAGTCCTCAGCCAAGGATCCCGCTTCTGACGCTTCTTGGAGAAACAGAGCAAGTTCCACTGCGTGAGGTCGTAGAAAGGAAAGTGCGCCGCTGTTTGGTCGTGGTCAGAGGTTTTGAAGGGCCTTACATGGAGTGTGTATTTGCAGTTTGGCGACCCCTACACAGACCGCAACATAGCACAAGCACAGAAGAAATACTGTAGCCACAGACTGCCCATGCGTATTTGGTTATTAGGTTTCTAAGCTCTCGAGTTACGGCTTGGTGGTTCTTGACGTCGGCTTTCCGGCTCAGGGGTTCAGGAAGTAGGATGCGAATCCGAAACACTTTGGCGCTATTCGGATCTAGCGTCTCTGTTGCAATTCCTGGTGTTGGTGATTTTATGTTCAGCATCCTGCAACAATGAACAAAGTAACAAGCGAACATCTATAAGGATTACCCTAAGGGTCCATGTACCCAAATGCCACATATTTTGGTCTGAAAGTAGTCCCTGTAGAGGTACATTGGGGCCACAGTATATAATATTTGGATACATGGACCCTTAAACCCTAAACCCTTGTAGAGCCTTTTAGTAACCTTCAAGGAACCCCTTAAGCACGGGTTCCGGGCACGTTGCATATCACCAAGAGACGCTGTCCTAAGAAGTTCGAGTCGGACTGGTTCCAAGCGCGTTTGCCTTGAACACATTCGGAAAACAGGTGCCCTTCTACAGACACAAGAGTGGAACAAGAGTAGACGTCGGCTTATAAGGACCCGCAGCCCCGAAACCCGAAAACCTTGCACAAACCTTCCAAGGAAGTCATAAAACCTCCTAAACCCCTACCCCCCCAAACCCCTAACCCTAAACCCCTACACCCCTAACCCCTAAAACCCCAAACCCCTAAACCCCTAACCCTAAACCCCTACACCCCTAAACCCTATAGAAGACCATGTCAAGCCCTAGAGAGGCGCTTTCGCAGAGACCGGCGAGGTCTTCTTCTCCAGCAAGGAGGGCCCACATGAATATAAGAGCCTCAATAATTGTCTATACTGTTTTTTGGGGGGTGGTCCTTAATTATTGTGACTATAGACTATAGTATAATATCTTCAAAACCACACATTGTTTTTTTTTTGGAGGGGGTCCTTTTTGTGAATATAGTATAACATATTCAAGACCCTATTCTACTTAGTTATTATAAGGCCCCTACACATTCTGTATCGATTGTCGTCCTGTCTTGCACCCAACAGCAACGGCACCGTTGCTGTCAACACGAATTGAGAAGTAAGGCCTACTTGAAGCGAGCTGTGAGTGTTCGGAGTTTTATGCAGGCTTCCTTCAATAAAATAATCGCTGCTGGGCTCACCTGGATTGTCCGAGTTGCGCGAGTCCCAGCTCGAAATCAAGGCCTGATACTTGGGAGTTGCCGAAGATAGGGGTACCTTATTCTGGGGTCCTTATTAGAATGATTAGGGTCCCCTATTTTCGGAAACTCCGACTTGGGAGGATCATGCCGGAAGAAAACCAAAAACCGCAAACCTCCACCACGAGGAGTCTGCGGCACCCTTCGTCTTCCGGGTTGGCGCGGGCGAAGCCACCCATCTTGAACTCCCAGCCATTCCTGGGATGGGCTCCTGACCGGGCAGCTGTCGGTGATGTAGAACCCTAAACCCTGTTGCGAGAGCGTAAACCCTAAACCGTGAGGCATTGTTGCGTGCAGAGCTTAGCTCAAAAGACCCTAAAAATCTTAATTGTTCCTTTCTGGCGGGGCTGAAAACACCGAACACTACAACCCGAGATCCATTCCGATAAACTATGGGAGTTGGTTGAGACGAACTCTTCATCCAGGGCCTTAGGTCCCCCCTGTGAGGGTTTGGGGCTTGGGTTTTCGGGTTCTAGTCTCACATCACAGTTCAGGGGGGAAGGCCGAGGGCTTATGGTGTCTTGAAAGGGTATGAGCCTTAGTAAGGCCTCATTGTTTTTGTATGAGTTTTACAAGGATACAGGCTCAAGAACGGGTGAATGCGATCCAAGGCGGGCGGTGATCAGATTCCTGTTGTTACTTAATTAGAGCGGACAAAAACAAACGCATATACGCCGACGTTGACACTGAGTGCAACAATAGCAAGGAAACGCCAAGCAATGCACGCAGATGTAGTCTTGCGTGCGGAGATTAACTAAGAAACGGCGGTGGCAGTGCATCGGCAACGAAAGCGGTAGCTTCTGTATGTACGGCCGCTGCAAATGTCCATTCCCAAGACAGCAACTTCGGGTCATGTACCCTAAACCCTAAACCCTACATCCTAAAACCCTAAACCCTAAATCCTAAAACCCTAAACCCTAAACTCAAAACCCAAAATCCTAAAACCCTAAACCAACCCTAAACCCTAAACTCAAAACCCAAAATCCTAAAACCCTAAACCCTCAACCTCGAGCCGGCCATTCGAGGTGATTCCTGGGCTTGAGCTGGGAGTCAAGAAGATGTCAGCAACTCAGGAAGCAAGAAGCGGCCATTAGGGTTTAAATTACTATAGGTAGAGAGGTTTAGGGGTTTAGGGTTTTAGGGGTTAGGGTTTAGGGGTTAGGGTTTAGGGGTTTAGGGGCTACTGTAGCCCAGCAGTCTCACAGGAAGTGGAAGCATGGAGCTGCCCGTGCCAGAGGGTAGCCGGGGCCTGCGAGCTTGTGACCGTCAGTGAGAGCTAAGCCCAGCAGAGTACCCATAGTCTGAATTGTAACTATTTTCCCTGGTTCACCCAACTTTGGATGTAGGATCCTGTCCGGTAACCCCCAAAAAGAACCACAATGGAGACCATAGGTATGACTTTCCCCACAACCACCTTTGTTCATATCCTATTATCGCTAAGGCCCTTACTTCGGTCCCGACATGTTCATAACCTACACCAAAAACTGAATCTAGCCTCCGGCCACTAGAGCTCCTACCTAGATCCCGGCAGGTTAACAATATACACCCCCCTAACCATTGTCTAATTGTCTAGATAACCACGACCTCCAAAAAGCTGCAGATCCATTGTAGTTTGTAGGAATCGTTTAAAGGATCGGTAATCTAACCCGTACTGTAATTATTTCAGACCCCGGCCCAGATCTTAAAGCCTTTAGAAGCCCCTAAACCTTCAGCCCTAGACCCCCAAACTCCTAAACCCCGAAACCCTAAACCCCCAACCCCCTAAAGCCTAAAACCCCCACACACTGTTCCCCTAAATCCCCCAAAACCCTAAAACCCCTAAACCCCCCCTGCTTCGGTTCTTGGGACCTCCTGCTTACCGACCCGGAGCACTTCGGAGTTAGGTTTAGGGTTTAGGGTTTAGGGGCGGAGGGCTTCCTTTCCTGGTCCCAGGCTTTGGGGTTTTCGGTTTTGGGGGTAATTTCCTGGGCTTCCGGGTTTTCGGTGTTGGGGGTAATTTCCTAGGCTTCCGGGTTTTCGGTGTTGGGGGTAATTTCCTAGGCTTCCGGGTTTTCGGTTTTGGTGGTAACTGTTGTTGGTTGGGGTTTAGGGTTGATGGGTTTTGAGGCTGTGTAAGGCCCCATTGAAAGTGTCGATTGCCCACTTGGTTTCGCATTTAGGGCTTGTCGTCGTGTGTGTCGCCGAGGTCGGAGAGAAAGCACGGCTTCACATTCCCGCGGATCTGGCTTATGGCCACAAATCGGAGCTTGTGGAGGTGGCAGTTGTGAAGGACTCGGCTGCGACTGTGGCACCTGCAGTTTCGGGGGGTTTAAAGTTTTGGGTTTGGGGTGTTAGTTAGGTCGCTGTTCCCACTTCCACTTATTTCCAGCGACCTTCTTACATCTACAGCAGCTTTTGCCACTCAGGAGGCGGAAGAGGCCGGCAGCTTCTACTAAGTTAGTTAGGGCTTTAAAAATTAGAATAGGGATTTGGGGCCCATTGTACGATAAATACAATAAGGAACCCCCGGCAAAGTACATAATACTGTTGATGATAAAAATCCTGCATTTCCTTACGGACCCTAAACTATGGGATTTATGATATCTTCCTTATTATGGCATTATGGGTAGTGCAGGATTTATTTCATCAACCGTACTAAGGCAAAAATGTTAACTACTATCCGCCTAAGGTCGAACTCGAGGGGGAGGTGCCCTGAGTTTCCAGGAGTCGGGAGCTCCGGGCTCCGAACCCCATGTGGTCTTGCAGAAGTCAGCTGGTGTGTAGTGAACCTTGAGTACAGGTGAGTAGCTAATGTGTGTCCTTGGCTAATGTGCTGAGATGAACTGCCAAAGAGCTGTCGTTGAGACTGGAATCCTCGCTGTGGTACGTCCGAGAGTGAGTGCTTAAAGCAGCACTCAAGGCCCATAAGCTCAAACCTAAGTGGGTTTAGGGTGTATATAGGAGTTTCGGATTTAGGGGTCTAGGGTTAAGGGTTAAGGAATAGGGTCTAGGGGTTCCTGGTTTTTATAAAGAGGGTTTCGACGGCAGTCGCCATGCCGTACTGATCCCTTAGGCCCCAGCTCTCTCCTGATCTAGGGGCCTTAAGAAGTACCTACATTCTTTTTGGGGTTCCTTTTTATGATTAAAGAATAACGGGCCCCAAAACCATATGTTGATTATTAAGGCCCCTATATTATATATCTTAAATTCGAACAAACGTTTGTTCGATATGGAACGCCTGTGAATGGGACCACTAAGCCCAGTCCTCGAATTTCAGCAAGCCAGGGGCCCTCAATTCATAGCCGAATCCTGCTCATAAGCAGACTGAAGTGACACTTTTTCTTGTATTTGTTTTCAACGCCATCTGGCTTAGTAACACTTGTCTTGGTTTTTGCTTTCAAGAGAAATGCCATCTGGCTTAGTAGCGGCTCTTCACCTCAAAATTCGGCGAGGATGTCATCTTCGACGTGGAGCTTTTGGATATCCAGCAAGACAGCTCCGGGCCGTGAACTCCTAGGGCCCTAGTATCGGGGCCTGAATAAATAGAACGGG